CCCGCGCCGCCTCGTCCTCCTTCCATTCGGGCCCCGACTACTCCCAGGCGCACCACACCAGGCATCAGACGACCACAACGACCACGACAACGACCACCACTCCAACGACGACGACAACGACCACGTCAACGACGCCTCCTCCGCCGCCACCGCCGCCCCTGACGCGTTATCCGACCGAATCGCCGCCCCTGACGAAGCCCCCGGCGAAATTCCTGCCGACGCGGCCCGTCCCGGAGCCCCGGCAGGTGCAGTTCGCCGTCGCGGCCGATTCGGCGTCCGTCCCGCGGAGCAAGCAAGGAAATATCCCCAAGTTCCTCATCCACAAGACGGAGGAGCAGTATGACTACCTGCGGAGCGCGGGGGTCGTCCACTACCACCCCCTGACCAGCGCGCCGCTCGACTACGCGGCTGCTCACCGCCCTCCGCCCTTGGTCATGACGTCAGACCAGCCCTACGCCGAGGCAGAGCCCGACCGCAGGAGCTACTACCGCGACGAGGACCTGTCTATGACCGGCGCAGCGACGAGCGGCGCCCACCTGCCCGCCACCGCGCACAGGACGCGCAGCGTGCAGCCGTCCCAGGTCGAGGCGAGCCGCGCCGAGGAGCAGCCCCGCAGCCACGACGCAGCGCACGACCAGAACCCCATCGTACCCTCCTCCTCGAAGGAGCTGGCCTCCGACATCGAGGTCGTGCCGAGGGGCCGGTCCCTTCAGGCGGCGGCCAAGACGGAGGAGCGCGCCCTCCGGTCGGCGCAGCACGAGGACGCGTCCGTGCCGGAGGTGAGCCCCGCCCGCCACCCGTTCCCGCCGCCCGCACGCAACTCCAAGCGTGTTACCGTCAACGTGACCATCACCGCGGAGGACGAGACCAAGGTCGAGGCCGGGCCGTCGGGCGCCAGCAAGCCGCTCTACGTGCTGTCCGTGTCCGTGCCGACGTCCGGCCAGGACCAGTCGGCCGACATCAACATCGTCAAGCCCGACGACCAGGAGCAGATCGCCACGCTCACAGTCAACGTCCGAGGCAACACGACCTACGACGACTCGACGCAGCACGAGACGCGGCCCGAGGCGTTCCAGCCCGGCGTGCCCGAGAGGCTGGTGTCCCACTCGGGCAGGGCGGGCCAGTGCCAGTGCCCGTGCCCCTGCAGCGCCGCCTCCAACAGCATTCCCATCCCCGCCTCCTTCCTCGCCAGCGCCGGAAACAAGATCCACGACCACACGCAGTACCGCAAGGACGCCTCAGACTCGGCCCCCGCGACTCACGACCTTGACTCACGACCCCCGACTCCCCGACTCCTCCTCCCCCGTCCCGCAGGGCTGTAGAGTTGACCCCAACCCCTCCTCCACCACAGTCCCCCCCTTGTCCCCAGAGGTTCTAGAAGAACTCGAAGGTGAGACAGATCCCCTCAGGCATCGCCCGGCAAGATTGGAACCTGAACTAATAACCGAACTAATGTAACGCTCCGACACTAACCGTTGAAGGGAATGACTGATGAAGGTGCCACGCGCCGCTAGTCTGTCCACTCTGCCTATCTATCTATCTATCTATCTATCTCTATCTCTATTTCTATCTCTATCTTTAACTCTCTATCGCTCTGTCTGTAACTGCCTATCTATATCCATTTATATCTGCCTATTTGTCTATTTCTATCAGTCTATCCTATATATCTGTCTATCTCTTCTTTTTCCCTCTCTTTTCTCTCCTCTCTTCTCTCCCCCTCTCTTCTTTTCCCTCTTCCTCTCCCTCTCTCCTCATTTCCCTCTCCTTCTCTCCTTCTCTCTCCCTTTCTTCTTTTCCTTCTTCCTCTCCCTCTCTCTCTTTCTTCTCCCTCTCCCTCTCTTCTTCTTCCCTCTCCTTCAAACTCTCCTCCTCTCCCTCTCCCTTCTCCGCTTAATCCTCCTCTTCCTCCTCCTCCTCTCTCTCCTCTCCCTCGCTCTCTCCTCTTTCTAAGAACCAATAACGCCAATGAAGTAGCTCGAAATACAATCTCGAGGAGTAAGTGAATACATAGTTCATTGGCGGAGATTATCAAAGGTTATTTTGATGTTGATTCCATTTCGTTCTCTTCGATTTGATTGCCATTTAACCTCAGAGCAGAAAATGTCATTTTCGTTGCTGTGGTAAACCTATTTATATATTATATATATATATATATATATATATATATATATATATATATATATATATATATATATTTTATATGTATATATATTATATATATATTATATATATATTATATATATATATTATATGTATATATATGTATATATATATATATATGTATATATATATATATATATATATATATATATATATATTATATATATATATATATATATATAATATATATATATATATATAATATATATATTATATATATATATATTATATACTATATATATATACACACACATATATAACATATATATACACACACACACAACACATATAACACATATACACACATATACACACATATACACACATATACATACATATACATACATATAATACTATACATATACATATACATATATATATATATCATATATATACATATATATATATATATATATATATATATTATATATATATATATATATATATTACATATACATATATTATATATATATATATATATATATATATATTATATATTATATATATTTACACACACACCACACACACACACACACACACACACACACACAACCACACACACACACACACTCTCTCTCTCTCTCTCTCTCTCTCTCTCTCTCTCTCTCTCTCTCTCTCTCTCTCTCTCTCTCTCTCTCTCACTCACACTATTTTTTTCCTTTTTATATTCATTAATCCGTCTGTCTCTCTTTTCATATTTAATGAATGTTGATAATGAAATAATAACACCTTCATCAGTTATTCCCACAATGGATGCTAGAAGTCAGGTTTGGTAAATTAACATATTGCATTAAGATAGAATGTTTGATGTTTCTTTCTTAATTGTGTTTTTTTAAACATCTTTATTTATTATTTTAAAATATTTGCATGATAATATGCTTTCATTTCTATTATTTTAGGCTGTCTACCAATAGCCGCCATTTTGTTTTTAGTTCAGCGTTCCTCTTGTTTTATTTTTCGTTTTTTTCTTAATTTTTTGACACATTTATGATACAAATAATTAGCTTGATTGATATATGTTAACTAAACATTTACTGTCTGTCTTGTTTGTAACAGCATGGAGAACACACCTGTAGTTAATATTTTATTTAAATCTCGTATTGCATTGATGTATTTTAGATGTATTCTTATTATGGGCGACGCAGGGCCTTGTATCGTGTGTTGTATTTAGATGTATTATTTTTTATGTTGATTGCGACATGTTATTCCTTCATATTGCAAAGACAAATCATGCTCTATTTCCTATTTCTATAAAAACCCAAGTGATATAATGCTATGCTAATGTAATTGTCAGGAAATTGTTTTTTTTTTTGTTTTTTTTTTTTATATTACTGTATCTCCACCTAATGCAACATTTATGATATTGTATCTACCATTTAACTCCTGCTTTTTTATTGCAACTCTTTGATATTCTCATTGCAGCTCGTAAGTCATGCAACAGGCTGATACTCCGGAATCTTGACTTTGATGTTGTTGATGTATCTTAAAAACAATTAGTCATATGCCTAATGATGAAGACTTATAATGGCTGTCATTTGTGGGAGAGAAAGCGGTTGTTGCAATAATTATCAGAGTCGACACTGTTGGTGTTTGAGTGTTGGAGGGAAGGGTGAGAGGTAGGAGGGACAGGGGAAGGGTAGAGGGAGAGGGAGGGACAGGGAGGGAGGAAGAGGTAGAGAGAGAGAGAGGTAGAAGGAGGGAGAAAGGAGGAGGGAGGAAGAGAGAGGAGGGAGGGAAAAAAGGAGAGAGAGGGAGAGAGGAGAGGGAAAAAAAGGACAGGGAGAGGGAGGAAGAGGAGAGAGGGATGAGGGGGGAGAGGAAAAAAAAAAAGGACAGGAGAAGGGGGGAGAGGGAGAAAAGAGGACAGGGAGGGAGAGGAGGAAGAGGGAGGGGAAGGGGAGGAGAAAAAAAAGGACAGGGGGGAGGGAGGAAGAGGATAGAGAATGGGGAGAAGGAGAAAAAAAAAGGACAGGGAGGAGAAGGGAGGGAGAGGAGAAAAAAGGACAGGGAGAGAGGAGGAGAGGAGAGAGGTAGAGGGAGGGGAGAAAAAGGACAGGGAAGGAGGGAGGAAGAGGTAGGGAAAGGGGGAAAAAAAGGACAGGGAGGAAGAGGTAGAGAGGAGAGAGGAGAGGAGAAAAAAAAGGACAGGGAGGAAGAGGTAGAGGGAGAGGGAGAAAAAAGGACAGGACGGAGGAGAGAGGGAGGAGAGAGAGGTGGAGAGGGAGGAAAAAAGGACAGGGAGGGAGGGAAGAGAGAGGGGGGAGAGGGAAAAAAAGGACAGGGAGGAAGAGGTGAGGGAGAGGGAGAAAAAGGACAGGGGAGGGAGGAAGAGGAGGGAGAGGGTGAGAGATAGAAAAAAGGACAGGAGGGAGGGAGGGAAGAGAGAGAGAGGGGAGAGGGAGAAAAAAGGACAGGGAGGGAGGGAGAATGAGATCAAGAGAGGGATAAAGAGAAAAGTGATCGAAAGAAAGATAGAGAGATCAAGGATAGAGGATCAAGAGAGAGAGAGAGAGAGAGGAGCTAGCTAGTGACCGAGCTACCGAGAAAGAGAGAGGAGAGAGGAGAGAGAGAGAGCGAACGAGCTACGAGAGAGAGAGAGAGAAGAGAGACTAGCGAACGAGGAGAGAGAGAGAGGAGAACTAGGCGAACGAGCAATAGAGAAAGAGAGAGCGAAAGAGATCGTGAAGCACCCCCCACCCACCCCCACCCACCCTACACACACCACCCCCCACCCACCCCCACCCCACCTACACACCGCCGTCGTCAACATATTAAATCACGGTCTGCCTCGGCGCGGGTCGCTCCGCTTCGCAGGTCAAAGCGGAGAATGCGGCCGCCGC